ACCATTCCAACTCTCAAGTAAGGAGTTGTAGTAATGAAAGAAAAATTATACTGGCACAAAAACAGACATGCATATCAATGTGACAAAATTGAAGCTCCTGTCATGAGAACACATAATTCCAGCCACCTAATATGTGACAAAGATGACAAAAACTTATCCTGGAGAAATGAAAGCATCTTCAACAAATAGTGCTGGGAAAACCAGATGCCTACAGGGAGGAGAATAAAATTAGATCAGAATCTGTTACCTTGTACAAAATCTAACTTTAAGTGGATATAAGTCATATATGTGAGACCTGAAGCAGCTAGAAGGGGACATAGGCAGGGCCTACAGGATATAGGAATAGGAAAGATCTTTCTGAGTGAGGGCTTTATGCCTGACATTTCATAACATTAAAAAACTGTGCAGCTAAAGAAACAATCCAATGGGTCAAATGGGTGAAGAGGAGTTCCATAGAATTGGAATTTTTGCCTTCTGTACATTTCACTGAGGATTATACCCAGAATAGATAAAGAACTCAAATAAAAAAAGAGTTAAATAAAACAAAACAACCACTGAACTGAAACCTTTGGTTTACTTATTCAATGGATGCTGGTTAGCTAAGTCTGAAATATGATGCTTATGAAGAGATTCGTTAAACTGAAATCTGGGAATTTTCTTCTCACACACAAAGGGAGGCTGCTGAGTCAGAGTTAAGATTGCATTTCAAGCTTGCAGAAAAAAAAATAGGTAATGTTTCAGAGTCTCCTACATGTTACTAGTTTGGGTGGTGTGGAAGCTTATTGGATCTTGAAATCGCCGGCCATGGACAAGAAGACGAAGCTTGACACTGTGTAAGATCAGTTGGCAAAGATGCCTCACAGTTTTTGTGGAAGCATGAGGATCGAAGGGGTAAGGAAAAGAAACTGAGGGTTGGAACCATGTGGCAAGGTGAGAGTCCCTGGAGAGAGGTCAGGAGGCCATTTGTGAAGGTGTATCCTGTGGAGACCCAGCATATTGCATATGATAGACCATGAGATGGCTACCAAGAACACTAACACTTGTGGAGTGGAGCTAGCCTAAACATTGCAAACAACCTGTGTGCTGCAGACAGCAGAGCAAGAGAACTGAAGTTGCTCAAGTCATTTGCAGTCAAGAAGATTGTGACTAAATCCTGGTAACTGGACACCAAGTTATTTGCACTATTGGAGTTTGGCTTTGCTTTGATCTGCTTATGACTGTGTCCTGGTTCTTCTCTCATAATAAGAAATTATTGAATGTAGTTTTGATTTTGAAGGAGGCCATAGTAAAGAGATTTTGGATATGTTACCGACACCAATCTTTTAAAGAACAGTGATCTTTTAAAGTTTTAATGTTATATATTGTTATATTGATGCTCATATGAGATCCTGGAGATATACAAGAAAGGAAAAGACATTGTCTAATAGTGTTGTATTGGGGTATCAAGTTGACAAAAGATGCCAATAGTCCTGATTAGTTTTTGTTTGTTTTTTGCTTTTTTTTTTTTCAAACTTAACACAATCTAATCTAAAGTCATATAGGAAGAAGAACCTCAACTGAGAAATAACCTTCTGTAAACTGCCTATAGGCGGGACCATAGGTCACTTCCTTGATTAATTTTTGGTGTAGGTATACAGAGGTGACCTTGGATTTTATAAGAAAGCAGGCTGAAAAAGCATGGGGAGCAAGCAGGTAAACAACTTTCTTCTGTGACCTCTGCTTTAGTGATTGCCTCCAGGTTTCTGCCTTGAGTTATTGGCCTGACTTCCACTCAGTGATGGACTTGGTTGTGCAACCATAGCTAACTAAACCCTTTTCACCTAGCTAGTTTGCTTTTGGTTATGGATTTTATAGCTATAGACCACAAACTAGGGCTTATTTTTAGTTCACCCTTCTTACACTGGTCAGAGTTGGTCATAAAGGATGTAAGGGGTGTGTGTGTGCATGCTAGTGTGTGGACATGTGCATGCCAGGGAGGGGGAATGAAGAAGGCAAGTAAAAGTGGGAAATTAAAGAATTTATATGCTAGTTGTTAGTCTGAAACATATATTCATTTTTTCTCTTCTCACTTTAAAAAAACCCTACCCAGAAAAATTCATATTTGAGAAAGAAAAAATGACTGTTTTTTTTGAATAATGGCAAGTGTTTTGATACATATAAGTTTGATCTCTGGTGACAATATTATTTATTATTTTCATTACCAAGCCTTGGGAAAGTTGATATAGTACTGTCCCAGTTTGCTTTCTATTGCTTTGGTAAAATGCTGACCAAAACCAACTAGGGCAAGACAGGTTTATTTCATTTTACAGTTCTGGACCACAGTCCATCAGGGAAGGAAATCATGTCCAAAACTCAAGGCAGAAGCCCTGGAAGAATGCTTCTCATCAGCATGCTCTCCCTGTTTTGTTCATTTATCTTTCTTATAAAACTTACCCAGTATGGCACTTCCAAAAATGGGCTTGGCCCTCCCACACCCATCAAAATGCCCTATAAGATCTACCTACAGATCAATCTGATGGGAGCATTTCCAGTTCCTTCTTCTCAGATAAGCATAACCCGTGTCAAGTTAACAAAAAAACCAATGAACACAATTGATCATTATCATCTTGACACACAACAATATCATTACTAAACCATAACCTTTACTTTATTTTTTCCAGTATTTTATATTAATATCACAATACAAACCACAACATAATTTTAAAAGTCCCATAGTCTTCTTACAAATTCAAATATTTTAAAATTCTAGTCTCTAAAATATTCTATATTTAGAAGTCTAGTGTCTCAATTGTGGAATCCTGTAAAGTAAAAAATGAGTTATATACTTTACCTTTTAACCAAGAAGAACCAGAGCACAGTTACTATCAAATAAAAACAAGCCCATCATCTGGCAGCATTAGACATGCTTTGGGCTTTGAAGAACATCTTTACTTCTTTGGCTTTTATAACACACATAGCTTGTTTCATAGACTCAGTCTGTCTCTGCTACACACTTGATGCTGTCCTTAGTGGTCATCTTACAGTATGGCATCATTCATATTCTAGAATCTCTACAAGCTCTACCTTCACCAATGGACTCCTGTCCCCTCATCAGAGATTCTAACCTGCTACACGGTTCCAAGTCTCCATTTCTCTTTCTCCATGACCCCTTCAACACTTGGATTTCCATTTCAACTAAGGTTATACATTTACCAGTGCCCTCTTTTGGGTTCTCACAGTGCTGTGTCTCAGCCTTTCTCCACGATACCTTCATTCCTGAGGTCTCTACTGCACCTCTAGTTGTACCTTTACCAAAAGCCTTTCCTGTTACCAAGTCTCAGCTGTTTCCCATGATTTCCCTTCAGTGCAGCAGCTCCCAAATCATCAAGACCATTAAAACAAAGGAGACTCTTACACATTACCAAGTTCCCCTGCCAACATGAGACGCAATCTTGGCACCATCTGGAACAAAAGTCTGTGTGCTAATCCTGTGGGAAATACTCCAGATTTAACCCCAATGTTTCTGGTCTCTTCTTGATCATAGCTGATTTCTAAGTCCCAGGAACTAATCTCCAGTGTCCCAGCAAAAATTTCACATCAGTGGTCCTAGTCTTTTCATAAATACAACTGATTTTTCAAACCTACCTGACCAGGACCACAGACTCTCCATTCAAAATAATCACATGAATAGTGTTAATAGAGTCCTTGAGGGACTCCCAAACTTCCTTCTGAAACTTCAAAAGGTAGCCTTCCATCATTTGCATTGTTCTCAGCATCATCTTCTAAGTACTGATAGCAGTCTATTAAGTTCTCAGTGACCCAAATTTCTAAACACCTCTGCAATCTTAGTAAACATAACATGGTAATGTCTTCAAAGCAGTATCTTGTGATGCCTTGACTGGTTTTGGTTTAGTTAAGTTTCTATTGTGATGAAACTATATCATAATCAAAAGCAACCTGGGGAGAAAATAGTGTAGTCCATCTTGAAGGGAAGTCAAGGGAGGAACTCAAGGTAGGGACTGAAGTGGAGGTCATAGAAGCCTACTTATTTGCTTGCTCTTTATAGCTTGCTCAGTTTGCTTTCTTATAAAATGAAGACCATCGGCCAAGGGTGGTGGCCTACACAGTAGGCTGGGTTCTCCCTCATCAATGATTCACCAAAAAATGTCCCACATACTTTCTTACAGTCCAATCTGATAATAGGCATTTCCCCTAATGCAGTTACCTTTTTCAAGATGACCCCAGCTTGTGTAAAATTGACAAAAAATAAAATAAAATAGCCAGCATACGGTGGCATAGATTTTAAGAGAAGGCAATTGGTTTCTGAGGGTCCCTGTTAGTTCTCATTGAAATGATTTGTAAAAACAGGTTGGACACATTCTAGAAGAGGGGACTGAGACAAGAAACATGTCACTTAAGAATGAAATTCCATTCCCTCCTCACAGTGTCTATAGTAAATAAAAAGGAATTTAGAGAGAAATTATGTTCAGAACACTAGTCTTTTAAAGTTATTATGAGAAAGAAAAGATTTTTACTTACATTTTTTGGAGTTGGGGGAAAAGAAACAAAACAAAACAAAACCTAATACTATCCATACTATCCAGTGAAACTGTCAGTGTAATTTCTGTTACCAAACACATCCACTTCTCTTATTTCCACTGGAGACAACATACAACACCTTTAACCATACTACCAGCCCTTAAAATGCAGAGACAAGTATTTGTGGTTAATGAATATTTAACCATACAATTTCAAAGCTCCTAGTCCAACAAGAAATATGAGAGCAAACAGGGCAGAAAGAAGAAGGGGCACTGCAATCAATTTAGCTAATGCCTGAGGAGGGAGCTAAGGTCAGAGGAAAACAGGGGAAAAAATTCACAGTGCTCAAAGAGAGATGACCTGTCATTCACCTACATATTTTTCACTCTACCCTTATTTCCAGAGAGTAGCTGTTTTATTGGGAAACAGAAGTTAGTTTTGAATATTCTGTAGCAGAAGTAAAACCATAGTTTGACACTTACATTTCATTTGCTTGAAGATGGACTTGTTAGGTTCTAGCCAGTGCTAGGAAGAAAACAAAAACAAGACAGAAATTGTTGGTATGAATGAAAACTCCTGAGAAGAAACTGTCTGCAGAAACTGGTTGATTAGAACTGTATTACTGTGGAGAGATTGGAGCATTATATGTGCAGAGGCCAATTATCTTACATTGGGCTAGTTCTAGCCCTCCAGAACAGCCATTCCTTGCCCACTACTGTGTCTGAATTAGGATTTTTGTGAGTAATGGATAGAAACTTTTTAGAATCTAGTAGACAACTAGCTTTCATCAATCCAAAAGCTAAGAATCGAATCAGAAAGCATCTTGGGAATATAGAAAAGCTTCCCTTATCTCACTATATCTGTTTCTCTGATGTACCCACAAATGGATTTTTGAAGAATTAATGATGTAAAAGCCTCAAGACAATGGAGAAACACTGGACAGGAATGCTGACTTGACTGATAACATCTATGGAAGTTTCTGTTAAGGAGATCAACAGTCTAATCTCTCAACACCAGGCTGGTATCTACAACTCTGAGACTGCCAGGGTACTGACCTACAGATTGAATCTTCCATACCAAAAGTTGCCCCCTATTCGGATAAACTTAGTTTAACCCAGAGATGTTAGGTTTCACTCCCCCAACTTTGGCCAGGGAAATTCTACTTGCTTAGATACTACTGGACCTCCTAGCCCTGAAATATTCTCAGAAAAAAAACATAAACAGCCCACAGTCAAATTCCATACCCTCAGTTCCCCCAGGATAAGCCTACCCCAAAGGTGACTTGAGGACTCAATCTCTATTCCAGCAGAGTGAATGGTTTCCTTCACTGTTTGAATCAAAGGACAGCCTACTTCTGTTGATGTTGGATTTGAGATCTCGTTTCTTTTCCACATGTCACAGTCCATTCCAGTCTAACACTTTGGAAAACAGTGAGGGATTTCAATGGGGTTCTAGGCAGTTGGCTGATTTCTTTCTCACTCTCTCCTTGGAGGTCCTCAGCACTCCAAATTCATGCCAATGGAATGACTCTCTTAGCCTCTGCCCAGGTACAAATCCCAATTCTAGTACTGACAAATGTGTTTTTTACAAATCTGGTATAAAGCTTCTGTTCCACCTTCTGAGGTACATAACTGTCAATTTCATAGCTTTAGTTATGCTGGCATAAAATGATATTAAATGCTAATACTCTGTCACAAAAGAGGAGCCTCATAGTCCATCTCAGCCAATTTTATATAGACAAAAGGCTAAAATAAAAAGATCTATCTATATGACTATAAAATGTCCTCATACATATAATGTAAAGACTTTTCAGTGTGACTGATTCAGGGACATCCACATTGCCATCAGCAACTTCTTACCAACTCCCTCTAAATAAGCCCAGTAAAGTTATCAGTTTCCTAGGGTGATTGGGGTATTAGAACTTTAAATAATGTGGAGACTTTAGAATATTACAGGTCTAGAAGCTAAATGAAATTTACTGAGGGCCATCTTTTAGCACTTTAACAGGCGAACCCATTCTCATTTCTAACATCCTGTGACTGATAGGTAAAAAAATTTATGAATGCTTTAGCTTAGGAAAACCCCATTTTCCATTAGTGAAAGGACTAAGAATGCTGTCAGGAAGCATATAAATGTTGTAGCAGAGTTCTCTCTGTTTTGCTGCAACCCAACCTCTCTGATGTTTCTTTCTATCAATATATTGAAAAGTGCATTAACTTATGACTTTCTTTGTACTATTATTATAAATACTTAATGAAATTGTTTTGTTGTTGGAACACAAAATTTAAGTAAGCTAAATCTGTGTTCTTGGGTCATGGTCATTTATATTTGGTTCCAAAATAAACTATCTCTTATCCCCTTTGTGGTGAGAGTTGTTTTTCTGTGTCAACAACAACATGAATTCAGGGAAGTCTACTTTATGTGTACCTGCTTGCTCCATACTAGGAAAGATCAGAGTTTTTACACTTCTCTCTGCCTCCTTTTTTGAAGTGCATCTTGTATTCTCCAACTTGTATTCTCTGTGAGGCCATTTCATGTTCTACTGGAATTTGATCTTCTTGATGAAGAATCCTGTGGAAAACTACTTAACTCTATTCAAGGAACCTGAGGTCAAGATGCCCTTGCTAAGTTATCTTAGCTCTGTTAAATTGCCTGTTTGTACAAACCTTCCCTTTTAGCTGAATGCTTTCCTTAGACTCTGTTTATGTGCTTGATTGTTCAAAACCTCCCCTGTAGCTGATAAGCGAGATACCAGAATGTGGATTTTGCCTTTAAAAGCCCATTGCTCTAAATGGTTAGGGTCCCAAATACCTGAATGCAGTTGCAGCTGCTTGGAATAAAAACTTCAACTGGCTACACACCCTTTTTGAGGGGTCATTTCTAGTGGGGTCCCCATAACAATGTGTATTCCTACAAAACTCAGGCCTCTGCATTATACTTACTGTTTAATGTAAATTTATGCTCATAAAACTAAGTAAAAGTTAACATTCATCTAGTTCTTACTGAATACCAGGAACATATCAAAAGTTCCTTTTCATACAGGATAGCTTATTTAGTTCTCACAACTACTCATTTGCCAATCAGAAGTCTGTGGCTCTTAATGTGAAAAGATTTGCCTAAGGTTATCTAGCTAAACCATAATGAAATTCCAGAGAGAGGGTCTTTAGCACCTATCCAGCCTTCCACTGATTAGTTTGCATGACAAAGCAATATTTTCTTTGATGAATATTTTTCGTTTTCTTAGGAACTGAAAAACTGAGTGGCCAAATCAGTAGTTTCCAATCTGATCTGTAAAGTCTTCGAAAGCTGTAAGGAGACTCTTTTTTCTCTTATTTTATATATGAATCCCAGTTCCCTCCCCCCACCCATCCTCCCATGCTCCCCAACCCTCCCTCCCATCCCATTCCCCACCCACTCCACAGGGAGGTTGAAGCCTTCCAGGAGGGATCATCAAAATCTCTTAACTGCTTCAATATAGAAATATTCACCAAGCCATGAATAAGTAAGCTTCTTTTAAAGAGCAAGTTTCTTTTCTTTTGGTCAAAGTTATATCAGGTTGTTTTAAAAAAACCTTACCATACTATAATAAAAAATCACAAAGATAATTCATCTTATCGTTAAGTAGCTACAGAACCCTGTGCAAAAGTATTTTCTTCATCTCAGATTCCACAAATATAAAGTGAAAACTGACCTAGCATCAACATTAGGATATTTCAAGGACTTAAAGTTATTATAAAGATAATAAATATGGGTCTCGCAGCTGCAGTGTAAAGTCCACAAAGGTTTGTTGTTGCTATTGTTTTATTTGATATGCATAATTTAGTTGACGGGCCCTATCTTTCAGTGGGTTTCATAGAGGTGAATAATAAGCAGATCTCATTGTAATTAAATCACTTTGGAAGAAATAAACAGGTTAATTTAAAATTATGCTCAGGGGGGAAAAATGTAAGAACAATCAGGGTCCTGCTTCATGAAGATACTGGTTAGTCATTTTGCTAGTCTGAAATGTAAATAACATTTTCAGGTTCTCCTTGTTAGCACGCTTTGGGGTCCTAACCTGTCCTTTGCTCAATTTGAACCCATTTCTCTGAAATCACTCTGATTCAGGGAATCAATGTATTTGTTGCTTATCAAGTACTATGAAGATGGTGCTAGTATTGGATGATGTCTCAAAGACAATGAATGTCATTTGGGATTGGCTCTGTCTGCCAAGGAAAGGGATAAAAAATATTTAAGGAATGCCTTCAAGGTACTTACCATCTGTGCCCTCAATAAATTATTTATTCTAAATGAGCTAGTTTCTTCATTGTTCTAAGAAATACACCTCACAGTTTCTTATCAGTTCCTGTTTTCTTTCCTTTCAGGGTCTGTGTATCTCCTTTACTTATACAATATGACTAACAGTTACTTTTTTTTTTTTTTTTTTTTTTTTTTTTTTAGGGCCAACTATTCCTTCCCAAGGGGATAATCACAAGGCAGAGAGACCTAGGAAACATAACCTAGTAAAAATCATGTTTCAAAGGATTATAGGAAACCAAGTTTTCAAAAAGGTCTAAGTTTAAACTGTTAATAGTAGTTAAAACAGTAACCAAGCGATTTCTTTATTCCATAATTCATGTATGTAAACAAAGAAATTCATAGCAAAGATTTTCATTGCAATTTTATATGAAATAGTAAAAGGAAAATAGGTTAAAAAACTATAGTTTGGTAATACTTTGGATGAATAAAAATGAGTGGTCTTTTTTATTTTTTCTCTTTTTTTCTTAAAAATGAGTGTTTTACATGAGATAAAGTTTTATGTGTAACTTATACCAAACTCTGAGACACAATGTAGGGTGAAAAAATAAATTGCAGAATTTATAACTTCAGTGGCAGTTAGCAACCCAGGGGAATATAGCCATAGAAAACATCTGCCAATACCACAGCGACCATTCCAGAGAGTTCATAGTTCTAACATTAGTTTGTGCTTGACTGCTTTTGAGGTCATTTTCTTTTAGAAATTTAGTTTTCATGTTGTGATAAAAGGAAGACAATATTCAAAATTAGTCAAGGAAAACACAAGGAATTTGATGTTTCGTAGGATTTTAAGAGTACCCAAGAAGTACAAACTTGCCAATCAGGAGTAACTGTGCTGGTTTTAGAATTAAATAAAGACATTATTTTTTCTTAAAACATATGTGCAAAATTTTCCAAGGTGAAACAATGATGTTAGTTATTATAGTCTTTAGATTTGACTCTTATTTATTATATAGAACTGTTTTTCAACCTACAAGCAACACTGGAGTAATGACTAAGATAGTAAGTGAACCATACATTGAGAAAACTTTAGAAATATTTGATTATCATAATTAACATGATTTATGTTGAAGATAAAAATACAAAATACTATATTAGAAAAACAAATATAAGCATCTAAAACAATTCTTTAGTGTTTAGAAGTAATACACCAAGGTGACACCAGTGGGAAAGTACATAGTATGGGTGATGGGTACAGATTTAGAGGTGCTGGCTAATGGAATTTAGAA